TTATTTGAGTACTGAAAGTACATTATTTTGTACAATGTACATTAGTACAAGAATAATGTAATTTTAGTATATTAAAAATATTTTTTGTTATGGTTCACACAACACTGTGTGGACTATAATTTGCCACACGCAATTGGCATGCAATATATATATATATATATATATATATATATATATATATATATATATATATATATATATATATAGCCAGGAATAAACGCTTGCCCAATTGTTTCGATACCAATTCTCATGATCAAACATTTACCCAGCCTTATGCCAATTCAAAAGCTATAATTTATAACGAAAATGTGACTTTATTTCTTTATATTTACGTAGCATTCAACTTCAAATTTCAATGGCAGAATGCAGAACTTGTCCCTTCAAACTTTCGTCCAACATATTTTTTACTTAATTGAGCATATTTTCTTTTTATTAAATTGAGTTAATATTTTTGAGAAAATGGTCAAATAAGAGTCTGAACTTTACTCAAAAAAGTCACTTTGGCTCTTAAATTTTCAAAAGTTGCAATTAAACACATAAACATGTTATTTTGAAGCATTTAAGCCTAGAAACTGATTGGTAACTTGTAATTATAGGTTAGCTAGGTTTCCAGTGACCTCTCTTACAGTTTTCGGCTATAATCACCGACGACCGAACGGTCACCGGTCGTGTCTGGAGGAGGCGACTAACTGGTCTGCTTTCTCCTCCGCCTCAGAAGGCAACCAATACAGGATCAAGACCTGACACTCACAGTGTGCAAGTAACAGCCCATTTGGTGGGCTCCTCGTGGACAACATGCGATAGCCCTCTCACTTCAGAGATTGTTCCGTGACCATAGTTTACCATTCTGTCGGTTTTGGGTGTTGGGCCCATGGGGTGGGGAATTTCCTTTTGTAGGCAAGGTTATTTATTTATTTATTTATTTTTTTTGTTTTTTGTTATTTGTTTTTTTTTTTTTTGTGTTTTTTTTTTTGTTTTTGTTTTTGTTTTTGTTTTTTTGTTTTTTTTTTTGTTTTTTTTTTTTTTTTGTTTTTTTGTTTTTTTTGTACTAAGTATATATGTATATACACACACAGAGATTAGTAGTTGAACAAATGTTGTTTTTCTTTGTTAAAATAACCTCATATATATTCACTTCCTCAGCCTAATAAAAAAAATACTAATCTTTATATATAGTGGTTAACTATTTAACTATTAAATCATTAAACAAATTAAAGTCATCTTAATGCAGCTCTCTTCATAGACTGCAATTCACCAAAGATTTATAAGGGGAGTTTGGAGACCAAAGACTTTTCAATCATTTATTACCTGTGTATTTAGTGGTCGTATTCTTTAGGCCCCGTCTTGCAAACGATATGATAGATTTTTTTTTTTTTTCTAATAGTTTAATTTTGACCTTTTATAAGTGTTGGGCGGAGGTTTAGAGGACTAAGTCTAGCATTATGCCATCAAAATGTGGTGTTGATTGTTACAGATGTATAAAGAAATAAAGTGACGTCTTCACTGCTATTAGCTATAACCTTTGGCGTAGTGGTAAACGTTTGATTTGACAATTTCATACATTTATTGCATAGTAATCATATTATTGAAAAAAATATGACTACTAGATTCCCCGCACAGGCTTAACTCAATGGTTCAGTATGCCAGATTCGAAACTCATCAACGGCAGCAGTGTGGGAGTTATGCCTAAAGTGAGCAGATCCCTTGCGCGCCCGTGATTTACATTATCCCGAATGCTCCGTCGGGTAGGGGTGTGAGATGCCCTTAGGGTTGGGGATTCGACCTTTTTTTAGAGAAGAATATGACTACTAGGTTTTTGTTTAAAACATTACGTGTTATTATAGGCTAACAAGTGATTATCATATTAAATTTTATTAATTAGGCTATGTGCAGTATTTGAAGTTTTAGGGTGTGTTTGGTTCGCACATGGGAATCAGAATCGGAATGGGTATCAAATACTTGGTAATAGTAATGGGTTTTGTGAAAGTATTTTGCATGTTTGGTAGTAGGGTGGAATGAGTGTAACACCCCGTGTTACGACCCCTAAAACCAAATTAATTAATTAATTACTCACCCTAAAAAGGGAATTAAAATCCATTAATTAACTAAAAGGGGGTCCACCATAGTCCATGGACCCTTATCCCTAAAACCAACCCCTTAGTCCTATAAGGAATGGAAGTGGCAAGCCCATACCATTTAGACCCTAATTAGGACTCTTAGGTATATAAATAGGGACATAAGAGGCACCTAGAACCCACACCACACAAGAATTCCCAAGAATTCCCATATGATAAATCAAGAAAGAAGAAATCTTAAAGAAAGACCATCCATAGCCAAGGAAATTAATTAAGGCTAAGAGGTAACCCATATCTCAATAAAACCTATTTTCCTTGCTATATTCTCCTTCTTTGACTCCCTCTATATGCTTGTGTCTTGATGAATTCCTTTATGATATTCGTGATATAATCTAGTTGATTGATGTGATGATTTTATGTGTGATCTTGATGATCTTGATGATAAAAAGAGGTTCTTGATATTTATGTGATGATTCTTGATGAATCTTGATGATTCTTGATGATAAAGATAAAATATGATTTTGATGATTCGGATGGGATTAGAGACCTAGGTTGGGTTGGGAATTTGTATTATGATGTTCTTGATTTATACTTGGGCGGGAATTCGCATGTTCGGGCGTTATTTATGTTTAGAAGTCATGTTAGGATGTGTTCGATATGATTCTTGCTTTTGATCCATTAATTGCCTACGTGGTGTCGTTATTTACGTTTAAAAGTGTCTAAGCATGGTTTCGGGTTCCACAAGCGATCCCGGGACGCATATTTGATGAAAGAGTCAGTGGGGGGTAGGTGGGGGTAGGGGTACCCACCACCTACCCGCTGCCCGAGAATCACCGCCAGGCAGCGGGCAGCCGGCGGGCAGACGTCTGCCCGCCGGCTACCCGCTGCCCGGAAGATCATCTCCGGCGGGCAGCTGCCGGGTGACCCCCACCCATCGGCTACCCGCTGGTGTGTTACCCACCCCGGGTCCTCGGCTTCCCCGTTTGATGTTCCCATTCCCCGTGGTGTCCCGACGGATCCCGTTTGTCGTGGTTGAGTGTAGTTTGATGTTTCGGGTGCCATTCGTAGGATAAAAGAGTCTTAGGAATTGCATGTTAGTGAATCGGTAACCCGTTGGCCTAGGAGAAGAATGCATGAACCCCTTAGGACTACTCTTAGTATGTGAATGATCACACGTAAGTTTATTCATACGTCTCCCCCTTCCCAATGTGCTATTATGTGCTACAATGTGTTATGTGATGCATGATTCCCCAATTTGGTTGCGATCAAATTGGGTGTTCCTGAGTTGCGGTTCAGAAGTTGGCTGCGGTCAAATTGGTTGCTTATGAGCTGCGGTTCATTTTCCTGGCTGCGGTCAGTGATTCACTTCTTGGGCTACAGCCCACGGGCCTCGTGTGCGGATGGTCCACCGACTGGACGCGCCAGCGGTGTGTAGGGCCACCAGCCTGAGGAAGGCCATAGCCCACCGAATGAGTGATCAGGCGGTGTGTAGGGCTATGGTTGGCTACGATCCACCGAGTGAAGGGCCAGCGGTGTGTAGGGTCGTAGTCTCCGAGGATCTTCGCCCACCGACTGAGTCCCTCAGTGGTGTGTAGGGCTTGATTCGCTATGATCCACCGACTGTGCTCGTCAACGGTGTGTAGAGTCGTAGTCCCAAAAAGAGGATCACAGTCCACCGACTGAGCGCGTCAGCGGTCTGTAGGGCTGTGATCTGCCGTCGAGCTATCAGCGGTCTGTACGGTTGGTTGCGATCAACCCCTTCATGCTGCGGTATGAGGTAGGGTGCTGCGGGGCCATGTTAGTGCTATATGCACTAACCCTCATGTTCGGGGCATGCGATTGGTCCCGTGGCGCCACCAAAGTGTGCTTGTGTGACTTGAATGATGATTTGAATAATTTGAAAGTGAACTGTGACCTTAGATACATGTTCTCTATGATATTGTCTTTATATAACTGTTTATTATTGTTGAATGTGCTTATCCCTACCTGTTGAGTCTATTCCTGGTTTTAAAGCTAGAGTCTCCTAAGTATATATCTTCCTGCTTCAAAATGATTTTCGTATATATATATATATATATATATATATATATATATATATATATATATATATATATATATATATACCTATATTGTATTTCAACGCGTTGGAGTGGGTTACCAGCATCATTCGCTGAACAGATATATTTGGCTTTCAGGCACAGATGAGTAGACCCCGGAGCGGGCTAGAGATCCGAAGCGTAGATTAGTTAGTTTTCCTTTCGGCCTGCGTGCCATGATTATGTATTGACATTGCTTTGAGGATATATTTAGTTAGTTTAGCCTGTGCATCTGAGTTCTCCAGCTCAGATGTGGCATAGAACCCCGCACCCTTATGTTTAGTTTTAGGATTTGATAAGAATTTACCTTTATTATATAAGTTTTAAAAGTTTCAAAATTTTGGGGTGTTACAATGAGAATGATTATCAATATTGTTGTTTGATTATATTATGTATGAGGAGGAATAATAGAATGAAACCCTTATTTTATTAGGGAATGAGTTTTTCAATTAAGGGGGTAATCAAAATCTATAGTTGTGTTCTCAAAACCTGTCAACCAAACAATAAAAATGACTTTGATACCCATTCCTGAACACACCCTTACTTTTCAATACAATATGGTTTATGGAAAATTAGAAACTCGACCGCGCGAAAATTATGGCGTGATTTGCAAATGTAAACGGAAAGAATGTAAGATATAGAAAGGCATTAGTAAAATGTAGCAGTAATATTTATTAGGACTCCATTAGCTGTATTAGACTAGATCTCTATTATATTAGTAGTATTAGACTAGATCTCCATTTCCTGTCTTTATATACTCTGTATCCGCTACTCTTGATTCATAATACAGAAAATATATTCTCATCTGGTATCAGCTAGGTTTTCTCTCATGGAAAACGTCGGTGTTAATGACGGCTCTGTTCTTGGTTCTTCTGAACGGACCGTTACCGAGGTTCCTTCGATGCCTGCGAGTGGTAGCCTTTCATCGGCTCACCACTTCGTTTCTCTAAAGTTTACCTCCCGAAACTATCTGTTCTGGCAGACTCAGATGCTTCCGTTCCTTGAAGGCCAAGGGCTTCTAGGGTTTATTGATGGTTTTACGCCCTTTCCGACGAGTCACCAGCGCTGACGTCGACCACGGACAGCGCTCCGGCGGTGACTTCTGACCTCCCGACGCGACAGCTTGCATGGCAACAGCAAGACAAAGCCATCCTCTCCATACTTATATCTTCCTTATCCGAGGAGACTCTACGGTTCGCCGTCGGCAAGGGTACTTCTCGGCAGCTTTGGCAGGTAATCGAGCAAACCCTAGGGTCGTCCACTCGCTCTCGCGCTCTCCGGCTGCTCGGCGAACTACAAGGGCTCCGCCAAGGTAACTTCTCCATATCTGATTACCTTGGTCGCGCTCAGATGTTGATTGATGAACTGGCTCTCACCGGTCGTCGCATTGAGTTGGATTATCAAAATCTATACGTGTTTCGCGGTGTGCACCCAGAGTTCTGGCCGTTGGTGGCAACCCTGGCACGTGGTGCTCCCGTTCCCCTCCCGGAGGTTGCGGATTTCCTTGTTTCGCAAGAGTGGATCTGTTCGGATGATGGCGCAGCTCTCGGTGCCCCGGTTGCCTTGGCCGTAAGCCGTGGAGAACACGGCGGCCGCGGTGGCAGTTCGTAAAACCAAGGAAGTGGCGGTCGCGGCAGGGGGCGCGGTGGTCGTGGCCGGGGACAGTCCAACTCGGGCCCTCGGTGTCAGATTTGCAACAAGCAAGGCATATAGCTACGGTGTGTTGGCGTTGCTTCACTCCTGATCCGGACCCTCAGGCGAATGTCGCCGTTTCTGGTGTTGATGGTACTATGGACGACTCTCATCAGTGGTTCCCTGACACTGGTGCCACAAATCATGCTACCCCTGATCCCATATTATTGACGTCCTCTACTACGTATGATGGTCCGGAGACACTTCGGGTCGGCAATGGTACAGGTTTGCCTATTGTTACTGTTGGTTCTACTTCGTTAGCCGCTAATTCTAGGTTGTTTTGTATGTCTAATGTCTTGCATGTTCCTAGTTTATCTGCTTCGTTATTGTCTGTTCAGCGTTTTGCTAAAGAAAATAATGTCTTTTTTGAGTTTCACCCTTCGTGTTTCTTTGTGAAGGACATTCAAACCAGGAACACTCTTTTTAAGGGGCATGCGTCTGGGGGTTTATATGCCTTGCCTGCCTCGCGTCCGGTTCCCGCTGCCTTTGTTGTTGCACGGTCCTCTTTCGTTTGGCATATGCGGCTTGGGCATCCACACTCTCGGGTCTTGCGTCAAGTGTTAGCCTCTTCTAGTCTTAGTTCGTTTAATTTCAGTGATCTGCCCAATATTTGTTCCTCTTGTCAATTGGGCAAGTCATCTCGTTTTCCTTTATCGCGTGTTGAATGTACTAGTTCGCATCCTTTAGAATTAATATATTCAGATATTTGGGGCCCTGCGCCGATACTTTCTGCAAATTGCTTTAAATATTCTGTATTATTTGTGGATGATTACACTCGTTACGCGTGGTATTATCTTATGCGAGCTAAGTCTGATTTATATGCGATATTTGATACGTTTTGGTCACTTGTTGAACGTTCATTCTCTCATAAAATTTTGTCTTTTCAGTCTGATTTAGGGGGAGAATACAAAAAGCTTAGTTCAACTCTCGCGTCGTTGGGTATTCTTCACAGGCAGTCCTGTGCGTATACTCATGAACAAAACAGCAGGGTAGAATGCAAGCATCGCCATGTTGTCGAAACGGGACTGACGCTAATGGCCCAATCCCTGGTTCCGTCTCGTTTCTGGGATTATGCCTTCGAAACTGCTGTGTATCTTATCAATAAAATGCCCACTCGTGTCTTATCTGATAAATCTCCTCACTACCTCTTGCATCGGTCTCCTCCCTCTTATTCATACTTGCGTGTTTTTGGGTGCTTATATTTCCCTAATCTGCGTCCCTATAATCGCAACAAACTGCACTTTCGGTCGTCTCCTTGTGTCTTTCTAGGATATCCCCCGTCTTTTCGTGGCTATCATTGTTTAGACACTAACACTAACAAGGTTTTTATCTGTTGCCATGTGCGATTCGATAAGACTGTCTTTCTGTTTGTTGCTTCTGTTGACTCGCAAGTACCCGCACCACACCCGGAGCCATGGGGTGTTACGCCGGTTGTGTCTCGTGGTGAGCCGAGTAATGTCTCGGTGTTTGATCCTCCTGCCGTGCCCGTAGTCCAATCCGACCCACACCGCCAGCAGCCTGCTACTGCCGAGCTGCCCATTGACCGAGCCTGATGTCTCATTATTTATATATTCACATGGCAATTCTCGGCTATATTTTCTGGTGTATGTGGATTATATTTTGGTTATGGGCTCTGATTCGGCTCATGTGACTGCTCTTATTGACAAGATGGCTCTTGAATTTAAAGTTCGTGATATGGGTGTGCCCTCATTTTTTCTGGGTATTGAGACTGTTCCGTTGACTGGTGGCATGCTTCTGTCTCAACAACGGTAAATGAAAGATATTTTAAAACGAGCAGGTATGGTTGATTGCAAGCATGTAGCCACTCCGGTTTCAACCGCGAAGGCCGAGACTGATACTGTGGTGCTATATTCTGATCCCACTCAGTATCGCAGCTTTGCAGGTGCTCTGCAATATCTTACGGTAACTCGTCCTGATCTTTCCTATGCAGTCAATCGTCTGTGTTAGCACATGCATTCTCCTTCTACTGCGGATTGGGCGGCTCTCAAGAGGGTGTTATGGTATGTAAATGGGACACTACATCTGGGTCTTAAAATTACTTCCTCTCCCTCTCTGGATATTCATGCATATTCTGATTCGGATTGGGTTGGCAATCCTGATGATCAAAAATCTACTAGTGGTTTCGCTGTGTTCTTGGGGACCAATCTTGTCTCATGGGTTTGTAAAAAACAATGTACTGTGGCTCGTTCCTCAACTGAGGCTGAATACAAAGGACTAGCTGATGTTTCTGCAGAAGTTACTTAGCTCGTCTCTATGATGAAGGAACTCGGGCTTGCGCTACCTTCTGCGCCTAAGCTCTGGTGTGATAATCTGGGAGCTACTTATCTATGTGCTAATCCGGTGTTTCATGCTCGCACCAAGCACATTGAGATCGACTACCACTTTGTTCGTGATAAAG